GTTGCAGCCACAAAATGGCCCTGTGGGTCATCAAGGTGATGGAGAATCAGGTGGGCTTCCCCTAGCAGCCATTCTTGTGCCAGGCCTGGCGCTTGCTGCGGCAGCAGCCTGGATCTTGCTGAGGTATCGACAGCGGATGTGAAGAGCCCACGTTTTGGATATCACTGCGTCTTTTACACAGCTACGATGTAATTTGAAGATAGAGAATCAACGATCTTATCACAGACTGATGTCAAAAAAAGATCATTGCCTATCGTAAAGCTGCTGCTGCTGTTCTTTATGTATTGATTTTGTTGCCAGGTGGATGGAAGCAGAGGAAAAAGGGAAGGGAGACGACTGTGTTCACGTATACAAATGGGATAGCTGTGTTTTTGACTAGTCTGAGGAGATTTTGCGGTCCCCCCCTGTTTTGCACCATGAACTTTCAAACACACTTATCTATTCCATGTTTTAAGATGTGGGTTTTGGTTAAGGGGAGTGGATTGGGATGGTTTTAAATCAAAAGCATTTACCAGAGGCTTTGCCTTGTTTTCACTGAATTTGTCTTGAATTAATGATCCCTGTCTAAACCGTGAATAAAGACAAGTAATGTGGAGGGTATGTTATTTTTTCCATTGGATTTTTGTTGGTTGTTGTTAAATAAATGCCTTAAGAAAAATGTATAAGATCTAATCTATGTTTTCACAGGTAAAGTTTTCAGTGTAGCTGCTGATTAAAGGTTAATATGCAATATTGGTGAGTTATTCTACTGGTTCTGGAAAGACAGAAGAAAGCCTGCTGCTAGAAAAACACTTCCATTGTCAGAATGACTGCTCATTCTTGGGTCAGAGTTGTAAGAGAAAGCTTTCCACAAGATGTTAGCATACCAGAGAGAGGCAGGCAGACAACTGAATTGCAAGGATAAGCAGTGGCAAGAGAGTTGGGCATGCTGAAGTTACAGAAGAGTCTATAAATGGATAATGAAGTGATAGTCCCTCCATCCATCAAGTAGGTTGAAGTCTGCATCACTCAGGTTAAAGGTCTGGCTTAGGGGTTGCTTTTTTGGTTGGAGAATACTTGATAAAGTTTTCTGTAGCATCTAACTTGTTCTCTGCAGTCAGAAAATCTTATGATGATTGAAAGGGAGAAGCTGAGAGCAGACTGGGATCATCCTGACTATTGCTTGTTTGTGAAGACTGATGTGATGTTCAGGTGTAAGGCTTAGCAAGTAACACCAAAGGGAGAGACCCTTGCTTTGGAAAGCGTGTTGCTGAATTCACCTGCAAGGTCTCATGTCCTCACTGTGATTTGAATTGTTTTAAATGCCCCAGCTGAAGAGCTCTGTGGGCCAAGACCTGTTTCTCTTGTTTCCAAGAAATCAATGTGTTTTGTTGGTTTTTTAAATAAAAAGTAAAATGCATGGTCCAGTCTGTATGATGCCAAAAAAAAATTCAGATATGCAATATATATATTCAAACAAAGAAAAACTGGTGTCTTGGTGCTTTACTTGCCTCCCTTCTTTTTTATTCTAGCAGAGCGTTGCTAATGCGTTTGAAATTGTATGTTTGCTCAGGGCTGTCTTTCTACTCTCTGCTGGCAGCAGAAATGGTATCCTGTTACATGTGACAGTCCTAAATCACAGCGGAGTTTCAGTGCATTTAGACCACATGAATCTTGCTTTGCTCTATAAACTGCTCTGGTGTAAGGGGAAGAGGAAACGGGGAATTTTTCTCCGTGTTCTGAGGTGGGAATTGACTTGAGGTTTGGTGATCGTGTGTTGGTGGTGGATGGCCTGGACTTTTGTATTAGGGCGGAGGGTTGGCAGTGGATGTCATTGTGTCACAGCCATCAAAATCAGGATGCGGACAGTCAGAAAAAATGTCCATCTGGAACAATCCTCTTGTTTAGCCCTTGCCTGTGTTGAGTTTCTATGAGAGGGAGTATGTGGGACAGGCTAGGAGGGTAAGGATTCATGGAAGGGAGTGGTTAGTTTTACTCATTTCCCATCAAAATAAGCAGAGAAAGCAAAGCCTTTGGGTTGTTGGTTTTTTGTTTTGTTTTTTTTTGTTTTTAACCTTAAAAGTTTAGGATTTTGGTGCAGTTCAGGCATGATTGCCATCTGTGTTGCAGGCAGTTGATTATGGTGGGATTATTATATCTAATGCCCAGGTAATTGATGTGGCTTACTGAGCAAGAAAAGGCCCTTCTGGTGCATATCATTCCTTTGGATTTCTTTTCACAATTACTGAGAAATTATAATACTGCAGCATTAACTAACTCAGTGGCTTTTCCAGAAGTCTGGGTAGTAGTTTTTTTCTCAGAATTTAAACCATCCAGTCTAACCCTCAGGAACACCTTTCTGTGTCTGCTGCCTTCAAACCAGTGCCTGAGGCGTGCCAAACAGTTAATTTTCCAATCCGCAGCTGCTTCTTATGCCATCTATTGACAAAATCCTTGTGGAAAATATACCTCAACCCCAAACTCTCCTATGAGCTGTGGCTCATTACTTTTTCCTAGCAGCTGGACTGTCTCATCTAAACCCTGTGTGTTTTCCAAAGTCTTTTCCACCACGTGGTTTCTGTAGCTTTGAGTTTCATCTTTACACTGAATACTGTAGGTGCATTTTCAGTCACTGTGGAAGAAGTGAATTAATAAAAACACCTAATGGGGACACCTTGTAAATGCAAACAATGGGAGAAAGTTTTAGCTTCTGTTACAAGTTGAAGTCTTGAAGATAAACATAACAAGCATCCTAACTGTAATTTGTAAGTTTGGTTTTGGTTGTTTTGGGTTGTTTTTTTTTTCTGAGAACTCACTTGCCATTAATACTGAGGGTATCTGAAACTTTTAAATCCCCATGTTGTTCTCATCTGTTCCCTCAACCTTACTGTGAACTTACTGACCTGCTGAAGCCTGGGTTTTCATATCCATGGTTTAAAGACAAATCCATCTGGTCTGACGTCCTGTATATTCTAGGCATTTGTGTCTCACAGAACTGTGTGTGCTAGTTATATATGTATTTGACTTGGACATAAGAACGAGAAAGAGCAGCCAGACTTGATCTGAAGATAGGAAGATGCACTACTTCTCGCACTTAATTAAAAAGAACTAGGAAGGCAAGTGTGGGAAGGGAAGGTGCCTTGCTCTCAGTTTGCCTTTAGGTTCCAGCAACTTGTTTGTTAGGTTGTTCTGTGCTAGATTAAAGAGGCCTCTATGAATTGATAGTCCCTCCCTCTGAGGTTATTTATGTGTTGTAACTGCCTTACCTCTCACGTTATTTTTAAGAAATTAAGCCAGCTGAGCCATTTAAGATTCTCAATGTAAGATGCTTTCTCTCTTGGAGTAGTTTCTGTGACTTTCTGCACCCTTGCCGGTATTTCTGTATTGTTTTGTAAAATCTAGACTCCCCAGCCACGTGTGGAATCTCACTGTTGAGCATGCCAGTGCCATATAGGAGGAATTTTCCACCTCATTTTTGTCAACAGACTCTCCTTAGTGAAGATGTGGGCATGTGCAAAGCAAATTTAAGCCAAGAACTGGATTTTTAAAAATAACTTCTACAAAACTCTTAGAAATGGTATACAGCTTTTCCTCTCTTCATTTGCTTTCTTGAGTGCCCTAAGGAATCTCTAAACCACAGATTCAACACTGTTGCCACGTGAGAGGTAAATTCTTTTCATTCCAGTGTGCAGATCAAAAAAGCAACCCTTTTTGGTCATGGCATGACATTAGAAACAAGTGTTAAGTGTCTGTATATTCTGACTTCTAAATCCTTGTCCACGCCTGATGTGACCTGCGTGGTGCGGGTGAAGGTGTCTGACTTTGCATTTTGTTCACTGATGGCATCTCCTGCTCTACTAGCTGTGCATGCTGACAGTCCCAGGTTAATCTTTGCCTTCTCTGCTCTGTTGTTTATCAGTCCACTATCTTCAGCAGTGCTGGTTTTCTCTTCTGCCAGATTGTTGGTGAAGATATTGAATGGAGTTTGGTACAGAGGCAACTTTCCCCCATGGTTATGATTTTTCAGTAACTTGGTATCTCCTGATTATCGGGTCCTTAGTACCAAGTAGATTACATCTAAGTGGTCAGTAGACTTCATCTGTTCTCTTGCTGGCAGAAGTTGATACAAGGGTAATAATCTGGTCAGATGATCTTTAGGAGCTGTTCTTCCTTCTGTCCTGTTTCCTAATTTATTGATGTGGATCTAACCATGGAAGTAATTTTCCTCTATTTGGGTCGAAGGGAAGAGCAAATCACTTCCTAGTGGGACCATGTCACAGAGAGAAGGTTGGCATGGCGGAGCCTGAAGGAGGGCCTCAACTGTACCTTTGCCCTCAGGGTTTTCCTCATGACTAGCTTTAGGCAAACTCATTTAAAAGAAAGGATGGTTGAACCTGGTTCAGTAGGACTGCTTGCATCGGGGGCAGGGTGTTTGGGGAACACAACTGGGGCCAGCTGATTTAAACACAGCATTTTCTGCAGCATAAGGTATAAGCCTGCTTTTTCATCTTTGACACAGCCAACTGCTTCATCTACTTTAGTCTAACTAGTAATAAACACTTGGTGAACCATCGGAGCTACTCTGGATGTTAATAACATTGATACAAATACACTAGAAACTCTGTTTCCCTGAATCACTTAAAATTTAGAGTTTGTGGATAGTTTTCAAGGTAGATTGCTGACATTAACTGAAGAATATCAAGCTATTAAATAGGAAATAATCCAAGTTAGATGTTTCTGTGGTTAACATTCGTTAGTGCAGGAAAATGCTTGTGCTTTTAAAAGTGTTCTTTAAATCTAGAATGATTGAGATACTAGCAATCTGGTGTTAAGTTACTGTGGAGATTCCCAGGTGGAACTGATGACTATGTAAAAGAAATTACTTGCTTAGCTGGTGAAATATTAAAAGAATTGTAATACTTAGCGCTTTTTTCACTTCCCTCTTTCTAAAATTGTTTTTTTTTCCCTGGGAGTGGTACCAGCTTTGCCAGTTAACTATAATCCGCTGAGGAAGTGTTGCGTAGGCATTGCCAAGGAATGTGGTCAAACCCTTAACTTTCTAATGGTAATTAAAAGGGAGTGTTTGAATCTGTACCAAAATTATATAGCGCGATGGTTTATGGGCTTCACTGCATTTCACTCAGTGGTTGAAACAGGACTTCAAATGTTCTTGTTTGAATGCTTAGACATGCTGGGATGAGGAGGAAAAAGCTTTCCCCACTGTATATTCAAGTTCTTCCTGCTTGACAAGCTGTAATTAATCTTCTTTGAACTGCTGGTGTTTTCCTTTTTTGCTACTGAATTTGTCTGTAGTGTACAAATAC